TGCATTTTCAGAACCAAACACAGTACCTGACCTGGGATTCCTTTTTTTTTTTTTCCCTGAATGAATCTACCATTAATTAATCACTAACTCTCAGACCATGTCTCTAAACCTTCAGAATATTTTTCTTTTCTTTCTCTCATTTTTAAAATCATTTTAAAATTTATTTAAAGATTTTATTTACTCATGAGAGACACAGAGAGAGAGGCAGAGACACAGGCAGAGGGAGAAGCAGACTCCCTGTAGGGTACCCCATGCGGAACTCGATCCCAGGACCCCGGGATCACCAAAGAGCCAAAGGCAGACACCCAACCACTGAGCCACGCAGGTGCCCTCACCTCTTATATCTTAAACCTTCCTTTCCTCACCCACCGTATTCCTAGATATCCGCTGGTGAGAAAACCAAATTTCTTGAGGATTCACGTTGGAAGGGTGAATCCACAGAAGTTCACCAGCTGATGGTTTGTTCGTTTCAAGGGCAGGCTCCTTACTTATAAGAGTGAACTTGTTTAGTTCTTCAACATGGCAAGAGGAACAAATTTAGGGAGAGTAGATGGGGATGAAGGCCAGAAGCCCATTCCTGGGTCAGCCCCCCAAGCCCATGTGGCCTAAGAACAATTTCCAAGGGTCTCAGCTCTTGCAAACTAGGACTATCATTGTCTTCAGACAAAGACTGAAGTGGGCCGGGGTGGGGGGTTTTGTGACAAAAGGAAGGCCCTGCTGGGTTTGAAAATGGCTGGGGGTGGGGGGGGCATTGTTTCATTAATACTAATTTTAATATTCGCCTAAGGATAATGTTGTAAATACAGAAAATGGAATAAAGCATTTCAGGACTGATTATTTGTACTAGCCTAGGAAATTGAGAAGAATGGCCTGAACCTTAGATAGAATGAACCTAGGCCAGGAGGAGAGAATGGACTCATCTGGAAGAAAGCTGGGACACAGACAATGGAAAGAGAAACAGGAAGGAAGTGGGACCAGTTAGTTAATTTAATCTAAAGCAATTTACTCAGAACAAATCTAACCTATGATTCAGGTAACTGGGTGCCAAAATTGACTTCAATATTGATTTACAGGCTATCACTTGTCCCCCCACTGTCTTATGGGTCTGGGATATGGGATTGCAGAAAACTCTTATTCAAGTACTGTGCTAGCCTGCCTCCTGCAATAAGCCTGATTCATAAAACACCAGAAAATCATATACTCTCTGTTAATTTCTATTTTTTTTTAAATTTATTTATTTAATCATGAGAGACACACAGAGAGAGGCAGGGACATAGGAAGAGGGAGAAGCAGGCTCCCTGTGGGGAGCCCGAGGCAGGACTCGATCCCAGGACCCCGGGATCACGCCCTGAGCCAAAGGCAGACAAGTCAGTCGCTCAAATGCTGCTGAGCCTCCCAGGTGTCCCTCGCAAATTAATTTCTAATGACCGTTCTCATCCGGACAAAATCTGCTTTGAGCTATCCTGTTACTGACTTGGTTATTTCACCTCAAAATAACTAAAACCAGAACAAGGCGAAATCAAATACCTGATTAATTGCAGAGTTCGCTAACTGAACCCTCTGAAGCAGTTCCACCCTACAGATGTGGGTTTTTTGTTGTTGTTGGCTATACAGTGTTTTATGTTGATTTTTATAGTTTTCAAAATTTAACAATTTGCAGATTTCTCATAAAAATCCGGATTTCTGACTTGTGTTGGAAAATTGGAAGATTTGGGGACCCTGGCCCCTTCATCCTGAATGGTAACACTTGGCAGGCCCTGTTAGATGGGGCAGCTTATCTCCAGTTAATAGGTTCTACTGGTCCTGTTGTCTAATATATTCTGTTCATTCATTTATGTAACTGGCCTGTAGGTTATTTTGTTTAGCCAGTAGTTCTCTAGCTACTTTTCACTAGGCAAAAATGCCCTTATGTAAATGCTTCCTTTAAGTGTGGACTATAGCAGAGGACATGGGTTAAGGAAAAATAAAGGTGAAACCAGGCTCTGCTACAATTAAAATGAAATCTGAAATAGGAAGTCCTTCTCAAAGCTTACATGTCTATTAATTTCATGTGTGCATGCTATATGCCTATTATGTCTCCCTTGTTTTAGAACTGTTAATATCTTTGAGCATGAATTTTTATTGAATTATAGTATTTCTATTTGTGACTCTGGAGGGCTGGAGTTAGGAGAAGGAATTTCCGAACTTAGAAACAAAATTTGGGGCATATTCCATGTTTTTGAAAAAAATCTATATTTATAGCCAAGAGCTACATTTTTATTGTCATATTGAAATGTGTCTTGGTTTTGTGAACTAGGATAAAATTAGAGTTATACTAGAGTCAAAATTCTCCACGTACTACTTTGTCCTTCCTAAGGTGCTTTATAAAAGAGTAGATATAATAAAGACATTTCAAACGTCTTAGTTATTCATGGCCTTGCTCTCAAGCCAAGGATCTAAGAGACCGTCAAATTTCACACCAGCCATTTGGAACATGAATCTTAAATTCCCCCTTTACCTTGGAGAACAGTAGGTTTGCTCTCTACCACCACTTCCAAGACCGGCCTGAGTTATGGTGAAATACTACCTGAAGACTGGGCTTTTATAAGGGGAGATGTTTGAAGAGGACAGGTCAGAAAAATCAACATGTCAGTGTTAGGGGTAGTTTTCTACAAGACAGGAGGAAGAACACTAACAATTTTTTTTCCTACTTATTTATTTTAAAGATTTTATTTATTTATTCATGAGAGACACAGAAAGAGGCAGAGACACAGGCAGAGGGAGAAGCAGACTCCATGCGAGGAGCCGGATGTGGGATTCAATCCCAGGATCCCAGGATCACAACCTGAGCCAAAGGCAGACGCTCAACCGCTGAGCCACGCAGGTGTCCCTATTTATTTATTTTTTTAAAAATATTTTATGTATTTATTTGACAGAGAGCACAAGCAGGGGGAGTGGAGGAGGAGGAGGAAGAAGCAGGCTCCCCACTGAGCAAGGAGCCAGATGTGGGGCTCAATCCAAGGACCCTGGGATTATGACTCAAGCCAAAGGCAGATGGCCAAACCAACTGAGCCACCTAGATGCCCCAGATTTCTTTTTTTCATTCAATATTTCAGAGGACTTTTGTCAAATCTTTTTCATTGCTTCCCATTGGTTCCAGAGACAGGCAAAATGGAGCTTTACTAGAACTTGGTGAGCCATCAAGAATTAGTTCATGAAAAGACAGCAGGAAGGTGTTGCATACAGTGCATCTGAACACGAAAAATGAAGACCCAACATATCAATGAAAATGATGAAAAGCAAGAGTTTCTTTGAGTTCTGGTGGTAAGTCCATGGAGCTGTGTCATGGTGGGAGTCTTGCCATTGGGGTGAGGGCAGCTACTGTAAAGCCTAGCTCCTGGGAGGCACTGAACATAGATACTGCTGCCACTTGCCTGTGGGGAATGGATTTTGCCTCCAGTCCCACACAATTGTCCATCACTAGGGTCCTCCTTTGGGTGTCCTTCAGAAGGAGGTCCATAAAAATTGCTATTTATTGAGTGCTTTCTCTGCACCAGGTGCTGTTCTAGGCACTTGACATGCGTCAGCTCTTTTGATCTTCACCCTAACACTGAGGTAGGTACTATTTGATCTGTACTCTGTAAATGAAGGAAACTGAGACCCAGAGAGGTTAAGTAAATTTCCCAAGGACATCTTAAGTGGAGGGGCCAGGATCCCAAACCAGATACTGGCTCCAGAGCCTAGAATCCTGAATGGGTGGCTGTATTAGCAAAGCATGGCTGAAGATGTACGGAGGGAGATGCCAGCTATTGGCAAAGGTCTGACCCACAGCCATGAGAGCCGAGTGGTACTCAATACTTGACACAGGTCCTGCTTGTGGAATTTAAGACAGCCTTGGGTAGGAACAGCATCTTAGTGTTCGATTTTTCTCTTACGTGAATTGTCTGCCTTTTTCCTTTGTCCCTTCCGCTGCCTGGGGTTCATTGCTGGTACACCCAGCACATAGGAAACACTTATGCATAGTAAGTCTCAATAAATATTTGCCGAATGACTGAATAAAGGAACATTAACTCCTTGCCCGTCATTTCCTAGTTCACTGAAGCGTGTCTTCAATTCATCCTTGTGTGCCTACGTTTTACATGTTTATGTAGTCATATGCAATGATTTTTTTCTTCTCCATGGTTTTTCCATTAAAAATGTTTATAAAATCCTGGGGCACCTGGGTGGCTCAGTGGGTTAAGCGTCTGCCTACAGCTCAGGTCATGGTCCCAGGGTCCTAGGATCGAGTCCCATGTCAAGCTCCCTGCTCAGTGGGGAGTCTGCTTCTCCCTCTTCCTCTGCCTCTCTCCTCACTTGTGCTTCCTGTCTCTCTGTTAAATAAATAAATCTTTAAAAAACTAAAATTAAATAAAAATGTTTATAAAATCCTTTCTCAACCATATGTCCTCTAAATATCTGGTTATTTTTTCCCCTAGTTTTCTCATTGTGATTTTTTTTAAAATAACATTTACTACTTTAATTCACTTGCAGCTTGTTCTCTCCTGTGGTGGAAACAGGGACCATAAATAATTTCTTTCCAAATGGGTCTTTTCTTTTTTGACAGACAGGAAGTAGGATTTACTGGTGGGCATGAATAGGAAGGGGGCAGTGCCGAGGTTCTCATGAGTGCAGAGCCTTCCATTTGTCCAAGGGGCCACAATTAGGGATGTGTTTGACTGCACAGCCATCTAGGATGAGCTGCCTTTCAGCCATAATGTCTTCAAATTCATCTGCATAAAACTCCGTGAAGCCCCACTTCTTAGAGATGTGCATGTTCTGGAGGCCAGGGAACTTGAACTTGACCCTGTGTACGGCCTCAATCATATGCTCCTTGTTCTGCAGTTTGGTATGGATAGACACGATGGCTTGGCCAATGAGGACCCTGGCTACTCTACCCTGGGGCTTTCCAAAGGCACCCCACACACCCGTCTGCAGCCTAGATTGGAGATAACATGAGGTAGACCTCAAAATCCACTGGAAAGGGCAGTCTTCAAGATCCCTTAGGGCAACCCACACAATCAACAGGCTGTATACACTACCAAGGAGGCTGCTGTTTGCAGCCATGGCACACTGAGCCCCATGGAGAGAACCAAATAGGTCTTCAATGTTTTCTTAGCACAGCGTATTGGATGATCTACCGTCCTTCCCACTTGTTTGTCTGTCTACTCCTGTGCAAGTAAAACACCTTTAAATGATCATTTGTGTACATATGGGGGTGTGAGTATGTTCCATATATAAATATATATTTAAATATCTTTTAATACATGTCTGCCGTCACTAGTCCTTTTTAAAATTGTATCAATTGATAGTATATGTTCTAACTATAGAATTCAACCTAAAAATTAATTTAGGGTTAACTGACATAATAATATTCTTTTATTAAAAAATATTTTATTTATTTATTTTAAAGAGAACACATGTATGCACAAGCGCACATGAGCAGACAGGAAGGACACAGGGAGAGGGAGAAGCAGACTCCCTGAGGAGCAGGGAGCCCAGCATGGGACTGATCCAGGACCCGGGATCATGACCTGAGCCAAAGGCAGGCGTTTAACTGACTGAGCCACCCAGGTGCCCTGTGACATTTTATAACATTCATTTGAAACATGACTAGTAAGAGCTAGCTCTTTTTAATCAATTTTCTTGGGTTTCCCAAAAGACTAAAAATGATGGAAAATGTGTTGCTTGCTTTCTGATGGTTGTAGAGGCCAACCTATCAGACCCCAAAACCCGTGGCCTTTACCATCACATGAATTTGCCCCCTGGATTGGGCTCTGGAGCCAGAAGTGACTTAACTGTGCAATCTTGCAGAAGTCACTTTGTATTTTGAAAACCGGTGTCCCATTAGTTTCTCTGAAATGAATAAAAAACTGACTTGTATGCTCAGTGTGGCCCAAAATTACTTGATTCTGGGACTACCTCCAAGAACTCAGTGACTTTTCAAAAGTACTATGCATCAGTGCAATATGGCTTGAGGTAAAACTAGAAGGTGTTGGCAATAGCGCTACCTACACCCACACATCCACACCACACTCAGGCATCAACCCTTGAGTGACCTGAGAACCCACCCAGTCATACCTCAAAGATAACTCTGGTTGAAAGCTAACTACCCAAATCCTGTATTCTCTACTTTAAGTTCTGCAGCTCCATTATATATGATCTCTTCTTGTTATGATACTTTAGTACTTTAACTTTTGAAGCTTTACTTATTTATTTTTAATTGCAGCCTTATAGAGATATCTTCAGATATGAGCAAGTTCCCATACTTCCTACATCTTGTTGGTTGTTCTTCATTTTACAAATAGAGAGACACAAAGAACAGACACAAACAGACCAAGACATAGAAACTAGGTGTCCTATGCCAGCGACAGAAGGCAGGAGTCTTGACTCAGAATCTAGTGCAAACCACAGAGTGCTGCTCTCCACAGCAGCTGTCTTCATGTAGCCTGGGGAACTAATGATTTGACAACACTCTGGTGTGGGCATGTGGAAAATATGCGTGTGCATACAAGCACCTTCATATCAATGCCTATTTCAAATAGAAAAGAAAGTACAAACTAGCTTACTCTTTCATTCATCATTATAAAAGGAAAAAACAAATTCATCAGAAAGGGAAAAGATCGATGCACCAGATAAGGGGCTAAGAGATGAAACTAATCCCACTCTGATATGGCCAAATCCACGACCATTGCTGCTATTCCCCATGATAAGAGCAAAATGATTTTTGCTAGTCCGATTAACACTGCTAAACCCTTATTAAAGGCTCACTCTCAGACAGGGAGGGCATAAACTCAAGTGTCTCAGTGATCTATTTTGGCCAAGACTTTTATTTTGATTTATTTACTAATAAGAGGGAGGAAAACAATATGGCGCCACTCAACTAGAAAAGACAGAGAAAAGGACAAAGGAAGGAAGGAAGGAAGGGAGGAAGGAAGAGAGAAGGAAAAAAGATGGAATTGTGATATGGCAATCTTAGTGAGGAAATGAGGTAAATGAGAAGAGATTTAATAGATGAATGTGAGGAAATACACCTGGGGAGAAACAACATTGAGCAAATACAGGAAAGAGAAGGCTACTGTTGAGGAAACAGCACTGCAGAAAAAATTCAGGCAGTTATACTAATTACTTGCCAAAGATATGAATCCTTAATATTACAGCCACAACCATGACGGATGCTGTCTTGGACAGTGTGTCTAGGAGGATCCCTTAGAAAACAGAAGTGGCAATAAAGTTGCTTCATCCGGCCTTTGTCTGGCAGTTATTTTCCCTGTGAAATGCTACTGCAGACTTGCCAAAAGGAATGCTATAAAAAGGCCATAAAAACACTGTTGAATGTTGAAAGAAGAATAGCTAGGATCCTGCATATACACTGAGGTGGGAGTTTCAGGGGCTCAGTCAGATCCCATTTTTATTTAGAGACGTCAAATCCAGTTGGGCCCACATTTCTCTAGATAGGGATTTAAAGCAGGCATCGGGTTTGATGTTGTTTACTCTGCTCTATTTGTCTCCCTGTGGGAAGAGGCATGTCCTGTAAATGTGCTTGGTGGTATTTTCATTGGATTTCTGGCATTATTTAGATCCTCAAGAAGGGGAGGTTCCCTGACCTCGGAAACTGGTGTTCAGTCAACAAAATGCAAGTTCTTAGCCAGAATGAAAAATAAATAAACTCGGAGTTAAAGATGCAGGGAACCTGCTTCCTGTTTGGGTATTTTCTTGCACTGTGGGATTTTTTTGTGTAGTTCAATGCTATTTGTAGAGAAAAAAAAGTGCTGGAATAATGGGGATTGGAGAGTCTGGGCAAATTAAGACATCACCCTAGAGGTAGTATGTCATCCCACTAATTTACCAGCCATTATGCTTCAATTTCCCATCCGTAAAGAGAGCAGTTCTATATGGTACCCTGGCCAAAGGATAGCTCCTCAAAATGTTGAAATCCAAAAACCTGTGTGGGGCTCCTTTATGTTAATTAGTAAGGCATTACCGTCTAGGAGGTGTATCAAGGTTTGTTGCAGTCAATACAAAGGCTGATCCAGCAATGTTTCTCCTGGGCTCTTCCCATTGATATGGCCCAGGATTTACATTTCTGTTGTTCTCAAACTTCTCTGTTCCATTAGAACCTTCTGAGACCTTATTTTAAAACACTGATCTGGTGGGGCGGGGGCGGGGGGGGGGCACCTGGCTGGCTCCATCAGTGGAATGTGCGGCTCTTGATCTCTGGGTTGTAAATTTGACCCCCATGTTAGGTGTAGAGATTACTTAAAAATAAAATCTTTAAAAACTAAAACAAAATAAAAATGGGCTGATTTGGGAGCCCAACTCCAGAGTTCTATTGAAGTAGTCTGGAGTGGAATCCAAGGACCTAATTTCTTAGCAAGCATCCAGGATATGCAGATTGCGGTGGATCATGGGTCCCTCTTTGAGAAAGTCTCAACCAAATTTACCAGTATGACTCACCTGGCTGGTAAATGTCCATCCATGGCCCAGTTAGTACTATATTCCAACAACTGAGGAAAACCAACTGTGGTCTAGCAATGTATGAAGAACCTAAGAGTGGATTTGTTTTTCAGCCCAACATTCAATCATCCTGCTTTTCAACTTTTGGAGAACTGTCCATCCCCCTGCTCCCTTCATGCCCTTCAGGTGGGTCTCATCCTGCAGACCAGGGTGCCACACATGACCAGACCTGGCCAGTCAGAGCACTGGATCCCCTGAGCCACGGTGACTGGGGATGGACGTGTGACTACAGTCCAAGCAGATTGTGTCTCAAGCCTTATACAGAAACTGTCAGGATTGGAACTGAGGGTCTCTCCAGAGACCCTTTCCATGATGGAACCATGTTGCTACCATGAGGGGAATTTCTATTTAATAGATCAAAAGAGAAAGAGAGAAACCAAGGCTTGGTAATATAATTTGAGCCACAGATTGGGCCAAACCTAAAGCCATGTAGATCCATCCCTGCATTTTTCAGTTTAGATTGGGGGGAGGGGAATCCATGTTTCATCTTAAGCCAATTTGAATGGGGTTTGCTGTCACTTCTCACCATGAATTCTAACGGAAGTTGTTATGGCAAAGCATCTTACTATAATGTTTTTGATGATCATATCAAATATTCTATAGTCAAATGATTCTATAATTGCCTTGAAAGAAATATATGTCAAAAACGCCTATTTGGTAGGAACTCTTTGGAGTTAAATCTTAGTTTAGGTAGGAAGAAGCTGTTATGGTATGTTCTTAGAAAAAGGTCAAATAACAATAAAACCTATTATCTGTTGACCACCTATGAGGAGCTGGGCATTGAGCTTATGATACATTATTCCTAATTTTCACAACAAACCCAGAGTTTAAGGATGAGGAAACGAGGGTTCAGGGAGGTGAAATAAGTCGTCCAGGGTCACATAGGAGGAAATGGTAGAACTTGGACCTTAAGGCCTTCTGCCAATGTCACCAGCCTACCTAGGAGGCTCCAAGGTCATGCGAGGTTTCCCCAAGCCTTCATATCTCTTCCTGGCAGACCACAGTGTACCTAGAATTCAACATTACTGGTTTCCCCTGCCCAGACACCGACATGAACGTTCGCAATCTATTCTTCATCGACGTTTATGTTTTCCTTTTGAAATTGTGCCCTAATCATCCAAGAAACCCTTCTTGCAAGTGAATCACGATGGCTCATCCAACTGAAGATGCCCTCAGCTTTCTCCAGAGCCAGATGTCACTCTCCAAGGTCATGTGTCTGGTCCTGCAGGGCATTGCTCCAAATGGATTTGAACTTGGACATCTTTCCTTGCACACCACACCATGTCTTGCAGATTCAGCCAGACTCATGCACATTCCACTTCATCTTCATGTCATTCTTTCCTTCCATGCGGGGCCCTGGGTTCCCTGCCGCTTGGTTGGCCACTTCTTTCTATGCTTTCAGGCTGCTCTTTGTTGGCCTCTTGCTGCAAGTCTGCAGATAGTTTGGCTGGAACTCAGGGGATCTCGGTAGTGCCCAGAGCTTGGGCAGTAATGGGTGTCTGATGAAACTTTCACATCCCTGCAGGTTGTGCAACTGTCCCCCCCTTTTTAAAAGATTTTATTTATTTATTCATTGGAGACACAGAGTGAGAGGCAGAGA